AACACACACAGCCGAGAAGGTTTTTTGGTTTCCTCCTGGGAAATATTTTCCTAACGTAACGCATGACATTATTATTACACTTTTCTTTTACATTTTTCATACAATAAATACATAATTAAAAATCCTGCTTTAACTTAATTATAACCGTATATATAATCCCTACTAGTCTTCCTAATCTCATTGACACCTTCACCTCCAAAATAAATTCTCTCTTTGATCAACCATGGAAGATGATGAAGATGTTTGTAACACAAGACTTGATTTGGGAATCGGATTAAGTGACTTCGTGCCGAAAAGGGATCGTGAACGGAAGAATAAGAGCGTGTTCTGTCTTGATCTTTCGGTCCCACTTCATTCGAGTGATCATGCAATTGAGGGTTCGGGTTCTGGTTCTGGTTCGAGTAATTTGAAAGTCAATTATGAAGATGACAAAGAAGCAAGCAAAGACACGGTTTCCAACGAGTATGAAGACACAAACTATGGCAGAAAAAAATTGAGGCTTAGTAAAGAACAAATCATCCTGCTTGAAGACACTTTCAAACGCCATACTACCCTTAATATGGTATGCATGCAAGTGTGTCCTGTTTAGCGTAAATTAAAATTAGATTTTTAGTAAATTTTGATAAAAATTGATGAAATAAGTTGTTGAAAAGTAAAATTAATCGATGAATCTGACTCGAGATTTTTATCCACTTGAGAATAATCGATTTTTCCGTTTTGAAATTGCTTGTAAGACAGGTTCAAAAACAGACTCTTTCAGTAAGGTTGAATCTGAAACCAAGACAAGTAGAAGTTTGGTTTCAAAACAGAAGAGCAAGGTACTTAACTTCTTATTATTGATTTAATCCTAATTTTGGTTTTGTTCATGGATTAATTGAATGCAATTTGCTCATAATTAATCTGCAGGATGAAACTGAAGCAAACCGAGATGGACTATGAATTCTTGAAGAAACACTGCGAAAGATTAAACGAAGAAAATAGGAGATTGAATAAAGAGTTGGTGGAGCTACAGTCAGCCGTGAAGGTGGAACAAACACCGCCAAAGCCGCCGTTTGTCATTCAGATACCTAAGACGGCGATTGCGACACTTACAATCTGTCCATCGTGCGAGAAAATTGGCAAGAATAGGGGCGGCGGAAAGGAGGCGGCGGCCGCGGACGTAATGGAGGTGGTCCATATACCTAAACAAAAGCATAATGGCTTGAAATTAATGATTTAAATAGACATTTATAGCTCATCAATAATTTTCTGGATGAAAATTTCAAAGGAGGTCACTTGATTTTACAAATCTATCCTCTGTTGGTGCTCAACTTCAATTTGTTTTAATTCGATTGCTTAACTTTATTCTTTTGTTTTAATTTGGCTATTTCATCAATAATCCTTATTGAATTTGACTAGTCCAACGAAATTCGTTGTTACCCAACTTATCGAGATGGTTTTAGCTAGTGAATGTTTAGATAATAAACATGATTTTAAAAAATTCATAAATTTATGAATCCGAGTGCGCTCTCTACTTCTCTTAATCGAGTAGTCTAAAATTCAATTATTTCAACTCTTTAAAATGTACTTAAACTAGTCATGGTGTCTCTATTGTTTTTATTGAATTTGCTGCGTTAATAAGATCATAATTTGACATTGATCATCTTCTAGTAGTAATTCTAGTGTTGAAAATTTAGATTTTATAAAATTAGAAATTTTAGAAATAGAAAACCTAAAATTCCTTTATTGTCAAAATCATCCATGTCAAATCACCAAGAAAATTAATAATACGAAATATACCCTAATGATACTTTGGAAATGATTATTTATTATTGAATCTTGATTCCGGACCTTGAATATTGAAACTTGAACTGCAATCTTTTCATCTTTGACTTCTTCACTTTCGTACTTGAATTTTGCATATTTTGATTCTTTAATTCTTGTTGTTGGTTTTGCTTCTTGATTCATAGTTTCAATTATTGAATCCCTTCTTTTTGATTCTTGATTGTGGGTATTTGATCTTCCACTTCAATATGTTTTCTCTTGTATTATTGTACTGATAGGATGACACAAATAATAAAAAGTTGCATATGAATTGAGAATCATAACCCTATATATAGTTTTTATATGTATTTTGCCCATCATGAAATATAATTTTAAAGGAAACTAGTCTCTACACATATAATCCGGCCAACACTTTATTTAGATACATTAAGCCCAACAATTTAATTCTTTATTAGATCACTCTAATTTTGGGCTTAACTTTAAGATAACTTTATACACAATTAATTACATGTATAGGCCCACACGACAAATTAAAAATTTTACTAACAATCTCTCACTTGAGCCACATATGTTACTTGATAAATGTATTTAACCTTATGGAGTCAAAACTTTTGCTATCATAATCAAAAGCATCTTCTAACAAACTCGTATATCAATTATGTCAATATAGGATCAAAGTAATTTTCGTTCCAAATATTATAACTAAACCATCAATGATCACGTATATTAACACAATCAAATAACATAGATCAAGTGTGAATGTATAGCACGAAAATTTCATGCAATGTGATCCAAACATGCATATTTCCAACTGGTCTTACCTTATTCTTTAATGAGATCAACCACAAATTTTAATCAGAGTGGAATTGAACTAAATACTTTATTTTCAAAATAAACCGAATATCTATGGATAGAATTCTGTGTCTAAAATAGACAATATTCAAATACAAACTCCTATTAAATTGGCATATTATCAAGCGATGCAACACCTATGTGAGCAATATGCACACGAAAGACAGCCCCTTAGTAAACAGATCCACAATTATAGAGTTTGTCTTAATATATTTCATAGAAACCTATACTCTTTAAATTATTTCCTTAATAACTAAAAACTTGATGTCTATAAGTTTTGACATCGTCAAGTTCGTATTGGAATACAAGACAACTATTGTCACGGAATAACTAAAGTGATCTTTGAAATCCATCCAAGACGTATAGCCCAATAACGATATTCCACATTCATATTCCATTATTAGAATCAGAATATCCAATGATCCCCATTGGCCTGATTTTCCTGGATGTGATCATGTGATCCTTAGTTTTCTGTAAATATCGAATATCCTAATTGGTTGCTTTCCAAATATCCATCCCATAGTTATTTAAATATCAACCTTGCATTCAACCAATGAATGCCATATCCAGACGTATGCAAATATTAGCATACAAACTTCCAACTATTGAAGCACGGTGAATTTTGTGTATTTTCATTTCTCCAAGTTTTTCCTTGGGACATTAATTGAGGCTAAACTTGTCTTCCCTAGTAATAGGAATATCACCTAGTTTACATACCTGTATCACAAATCCTTTAAGAACTTTATTGATATAGTTCTTTTATGATAATCTAAATATACCATGAGATCGATCCCAATGTGTTTGTATCCCTGACAGAAAAGAGGCATCACCAAGATCTTTCATTTCAATATTTAATAACAAAAATCTCCTGGTTTCACGTAGTAATCCTATATAATTGCAGGAAAATAGTATGTTATTAACATCTAATACCAGAAAAATATACTTGCTCCCACTGAACTTGTAGTATACAACTGTATTTATCTCAAAATCAAACGAAATAATTATTTGATGAAATTTGCGATACCATTGACAGGAAATCTGCTTAAGCCCATAGATGAATTTCTTTAATTGGTAAACCATCAGATGTAACTCAAGATTAAAATGTGTCACAAGTGCCATATGTCATTCTAACTCTTCTCGAGGGATTCAATTCACAAACACAAAGTTTATGGCTGATCAATATTGTTCATCATCATCTAGCTATTGCATTTATTTTTCTTGTTGTTGGTCATATGTATCGAACAAATTTCGGGATTGGACACAATATCAAAGATCTTTTAGATGCACACATTCTTCCATGGGCCTTCCACCTAAGCTGTGCAGGAAATGTCCAAACCCAATCCTAGGGAATAGTGAAGCTTCATAGGGTCTTTCTGTCTAGGTGCAAGTTCCTATGGAACCAAGGTCGAAAAAATTGAAAAAATCAGTCATTCACAACCAATGATAAAGGATTCTTCGAAATCTTCCTCATTATCATAGCGGATCGTCCAAAAAAAAGAGTTTGTATCGAAAGTATATACTTCGACTTTCTTGAAAGAGTCTTGTGTAAAAATCGGAGAAAAAGTCTCTTTAATTTCGTTGCCTTCCTTTTGAGTAAAGTCATTTGCAACAAGATAAACCTGATATATCTCCACATAATCCTTTGAACCTCTCTTGGTTTTAATTATCCCTTTACAATCAATGGACTTCGTACCTTCAGTCATTGGGATGAGTTCTCAAACGTTATCATTTTTCATGGACTTTATCTATTTATATATGGTATCAATCCACTCTTAAGAATTATTCCTTTGATCATATCTGCTTCCATCAATCCAATGCCATCTTTATGTTTTTGGAGAAAAACTATAAAGTCATTCAAAATTACCTTTCTCCTTTCTCTAATAGATTTCTTTAATGGCATTTGCTTTTGATGTTGTTCAATTTGTTTTTCTGGAACAATATCTTGATTGTGTTTAGTGATTTTGTAATATTGTCTTGATCCGAAATTATTTACTGAACAAGATCTGGAGTAAGATATATATATATATATATATATATTCCTTTTCAAAGACAAAATCCTTAACCTTAAAACCCCATCTTTTCCCGCAATCTCTACATCCTCAAGGAATCGAACATTTTCCGTTTCGAAAATTAACCTAATAGTGGATCTTTAAAATTCTTAACCCTTTAACATTTGCTTTACTTAGAACTTTATTGAGAATTTAAGCTACAGTCTTTAGTGTTTCAACATAGAGAGGTTCTGGTTTAGTGTGAAATGATTCCAAGTTCCTCTATGAATTTAGTAAAAGGTTTTGGACATTGTTCTCTTGATCCATCATATCTGTCATAGTATTCACCACTATGGTAAGATCTGACTTGTTTAATTCTTTTACTGATTTGATTTTCAACCTTAGTCTCGTATGCCTTGAACATGTCCATTGTTTGAGATTTTTCATAGATGAAATTATAGGTAATCATAGCGAGAAAAATGCATCCACAAATATAATAAATTACTATTGACCATTCCAAGAAGCCCAAAGAAATGACCCACAAATTTCCAGAAATATTAGTTTTAAGACGTTCGATGTTCTATCTCCTTATATTTGTTTGTTTTTCCTTAATATAAAGTCTGAAAAATTAAGAGAATCAAGAATTCATTCTGATGCAAGAATTTCTACTCTCTTTCGAGAGATGTGACCTAATCGCTTACGTCATAACGAAGTGAAATTCTAATTGGTTCATTTATGTTGAATACAACGAGAATTCACTTGCAATGTTTTCTTTATAAGAGGCAATCATATTAAGCTGACATATGTTATCATAATCAGATAAATAAGTGTTACCCACAATATTTAAATCAAGAAAATGACTAAACTGACTATTTCCACTTGAACAAAAGTAACCGAATTTGTTCAATGTAGAAATAGAAACCGAATTTCGTCCAAAAAGACGGTACCACAAATGTATCTTTCAAATCTAAATAATAACCAGTCTTTAATAATAACCTAAAAATTCTTATAGTCTCAACTTTAAGTAATTAGCCATTGTCCCATATAGATGAATCTTTCAACATCAATTCACTTTAGACTATTTATGCAACCTCGTATAGACAAGCTTATTTGAATGTGAAATCGAAATTTATCAAAAAATTGTGTCTAGGTACTAAAACTAAATTAACCTCAGAGCAAACCAAAATGAAAGTGTAGTTAACTTTACACACCAAGTGTGATATTTAGTATAATTTTTTTTCACGTGTCCCAAATTTTCACAAAAGTAATAACTAGATGATTTATCATTTTCATGCATTTGCTGTTTCGTTTGAACCGAACGAAATACAACTTTCTTATTCTTTAACTTGTCCTTAGAGATATTTGCCAGATAAGTACTTTCAGTTCTCTCTTACTTTAGACTTTCTTCTTCTTACACACAATATGAAATGAGCTCATTAAGAGTCCATTTCTTCTTTTAACAGTTGTAACTGACCTAAAATTAACTAAATTGTGCAGGAAGAGAAATCAAAACCATATGCACGAGCTAGTGATCAGATAGCTCAAACTATAATGCCGTTGGTTTTGAAGCAAGATGAGACATCCATGATTTGCTCTTGTATATTTTCTTTAGCGCTTGTATGGGCTTGATTTTTCAGGCCAAAAAAGATTTTTTTGACCGTTATTGATCACTTTTCAACCATCTTTTTTGACTCCACTCTTACATAAAGGGGCCTATCTTTCGAGTTAATGGCTCTTTTTTTTCTCTTCCTTTT